GGTGGCTCACGCCTGTAATCCCAGCATTCTGGGAGGCCAAGACGGGTGGATCACCTGAGGTCAGGAGTTTGAGACCAGCCGTGGCCAACATTGTGAAACCCCACCTCTACTAAAAATACAAAAATATTAGCCGGGAGCGGTGGGGGGCACCTGTAATCCCAGCTACTTGAGAGGCAGAGGCAGGAGAGTTGCTTGAACCTGGGAGGCGGAGGTTGCAGTGAGCTGAGATTGTGCCATTGCACTCCAGCCTGGGCAACGGAGTGAGACTCTGTCACAGAAAAAAAAAAAAAAAGGAAAGAAAGAAAGAAAGAAATTTCAAGTTAAAAAATATAAGAGGGGGGAAAAATGTCCCTAGGGACATGCCCTGCTTGTTGACATATTTCATTCAAAAGAAAAGTCACATTTCCAGATAGCTTCTCATTTTCCATATACTCATTAGTAACTGAATCTGGAATAGACTTTCTTAGTTAGAAATATGAAAACATAAACAGAAGCTTTATTTGCTTCTTGGACCCTCATGAAAAGAGCCTGGTGGAGAAAAAAGAAATTATGTTATAATTTTAAAACTAGATATTACCATAGTTACATATGGCACTATAACACCCTAAAGAGTGTGTATCTTAGTCCTTTTATTAGCAATAAATCCAATAATTAACCATGATGATCCTCAAATATGGTAATCAAATCAATGAATGTATAGGGTTTTTATGTCTATGATAAAATAATATTATTTAAAGTGACTTAGAGGGAAGGTAAAGAGAAAAAGATCTGGTGATATTTAAAACAAACTCTTTTTATTTTGGTATATCAGAAACACATTATAAGAATCAAAGAGAACACACACATTCAGCAAGAGGGCACACTTCCATCACCTAGCAGAAAGATACATGCTGGTAATAATAAAAGGTGTTCATTAAAAAAAAAAAAAAAAAATTTCAGAGTGTCTTACACTGTTCCTAAGCCATTCAGTCAAGGCATTGGTAACAACAAAGCACTTTACTCTCCACATAAAAAAGAATTATCAGTATTAATTGTTAAAACTCTCTGTAGATAAACTAGATACTTAAAAATATTTAGGCAGATAAGGCAAGAAAATAGAAAATTTAAGTGTTAAAGATTACTCTTTAAAAAGAATTATGATACATTTTTTTTTGTGATCATCTCAAAAGTAGCTTCATATAACACCATAGGCTCAAAATGATGAAAGGTCACTGATGTATTGCCAACTCATTTTTATGAGATAAATTCAATTATAATTGCTGTGACTATTCCAGCCACAATGTAGACATAGAATCCAATTATCCATTTCATTTTCATTTATACCTCATGGGCTAGATCATTTATCATGTTTCATGATAATGATCAGAAGACACATGGAAAGTGATTTCTGGAGGTAACAAATTACCTTCCATATTAGCATAGCTTACAAGTTCCTGTCAACAACTACTATGCATAAATATGAGGTAATTAAATTTACAATGTGCAGGAGTGTTTGATATTCTACTTGCTTCCTTCACAGCCGCCAAAAATCTAGGTTGCTAAGTGCAGCAAACCTCTTTGGTTGCAAATCAGGAATCATTATACCCCAGAACCCCAACAGGTAGATGGTGTGCTCGGGCTCAAGGTGCTGAGATGCATCTTTCATCATCTGGTATTATTACTTCTTGCCACCAAACCATCCATCATTACTGCTGAGACAGCTTGAAATGATTGTCCTGGACTCTCACATTACCGCTTCTTGAACTCTGTCTCATCCATCTTTTGCATCATACCTGATTCACAGCTAAGTCCCCTCTCCCTGCTACAAAACCAAGTGTGAATCTATATTGCCTTTCACCTACAGTGCTTCTCTAATAATAATTGACTTCTCTTTATTATGGAGCTACTGTTCAGAAAAGACTATCCATGATTGCTGATGCTGATGGCTGATTTTTTAAAAAACCCAATGTACAGAATTCCAATAGTTGTAGGAAAATGCACTCTTTTACCTGCAAGTTAGGCTTCAGAATTTCATTAGTATTTCTATTTGAATATTTATCGATAAACCTCAGCAATACAAACATAGACAAAGACAGACACAGAAGCCTCTGAGTGTACAGATATACACTAAAAAGATAGCCTGTACCATATATACAAAAGCAGTGTTTCAATCTGAAAATTATTAGAGTTTCAAAAATGTTTCACAGTAAAATTCAAAACTTTAAAGTATCTAATATGTTGAAATTATAAAATATGTTTAATAGTGACACAATGCAAACAAAAAAGGGATTTAAAGTTAGATACAAGAATATAAGTGAAAACTTCCTTTTAAAATAAGTATCTTACCCACCCATTTTTTCCCCTTTTCACTGATGCTAAAAGAAGCTTCAAAATGATACCAGTAACACAGTGGTTGGTATCCCATAAACTATCCAAGACTAAAGGTTTTAATTCAGCTCCATCTGAATGCTGTTATAAAAGTTTAATAAATCAAAATGATCAAAATGTTCTCAGTGGCAGATTGGGATTCAGTTTCCAATTCAAAATCTCTTTAATATATGGCTTCTCTGACATCTCGCATTTCTACCATCCATGTTGAATTCCAAACACCCTGCTTTATATCATTACCATGCATCAACCAGTCTGGTCATGGTAACTACTTTTTAGCAATCCTGCACAGTACACAGAAATGTCAAATTGAGTGGGGATTTTAACATAGGAAGATTATGTCAGGTGTGGACTCTTTATCTACCCTTAAGTAAATATTTTCAAACCACCCACTATAGTGAATGACATTCTTTGAGAACGAGAAATGCCGTTAGCCAAAAGTCCTACCCCCCCAAAAAAAAAATATATATAGATATATATATAGATATATATATAGATAGATATTCCCTCTCCCAACCCTTTAAAACATTAATGTAAGAAAGAGACAGGTCTAGGAGCATTATTATCAGGGGCAATAAAATTCTGAAGAGCAGAGAAAGTAGAGAAGCCTTTAGAGAGTTCACTTTATTTCTATGAAGCAAAAAGTTTTACAAAGAAGAGGAAAAATATTTCTACTTAACAGACAACCACAAATATAGTCAGGAATCTACATGAAGTAGTGGGGGAAATATTTACACATGATATATCTTACAAGTGTTTTTATATGCAGATAATGTCAGCAATAAAAAAAGACATCATATTAAACTCTGGTTTCTCTTTCTAAATTCTCCATTTAGTTAAAAACCTCTGCTTTCATCCAAAGTTTAACAACATGAAAAATTCCAATAGTATAAGCTAAAGGCTATGAAATTGAAGCTTAGGAAATACAAATGATTTCTATACACTAGGCACCTATTATTCATTTCATCATGTATTGAGTCTTTACTTAATGCCCTGTGATTAGTTTAACACTTACTCACATTCCTGAAGATTTTAAAACTGGGTATGTTCCTAGCACCCCAATCAAAAGTTTACAATTAAACTTATCATCTATGCTCTCAAATGACATCTTCTACAAGGCTTCCAATCTCTGACCATAATACCATATTTTATCCAATATCCCAAACAAAAATCTAGAAGTCTCCTTTGACTCCTCCTCCTACTGTCATTCCACAATGCTTTACCAACATTGCTGCCTCATCTCTCATCCTTGACTCATTCTTTCTACCATAACCCTACCCTACCCTAGGAACATTTATCATCTAAAGCTTTTAAAATTGTAAGAGCCCCCTTAACTTACTCCCTAAAAATGCACCATTTTCCAAATCATCTGCTATCCTGGTTTTCTGAGACAGATAACATCTGAGTAACCTACTTCAAAACTCCTAAAGCTTCCCAAATTAAATACACAATCCATTTATATTTCTTAGTCTGGCACTCAAATTGTTCCACAGCAAGGGCTCAAAGTACAATTTCAGGATTATCTCAGATGTTTTCACTGGAAAACATTGTGTTATGGTCAAAATTTACTGCTAAGTCCACAAGACCATGTTTTCCAGTGCCAGTCCCTCTGCCCAGAATGCCTTTACCTATCTTCCACTATCCAAATGCTACCCACCCATCAAGGGTCAGTTGGAACTTCTTCTCCTCCTCAGCACATTCCCTGACCATTAGAAAGCAGCCACGTAGCTGCCCTCCTCATTCTACACATTAAATTCATGTCATTCATATGGCACTTTATACCTCACTATTTTTGTTTCTTTGAGAATAAATATTTGATGAGATCTGCTAGACCTCGATCATGGTATTGGCTACAGAGATCCAATCATGAGCGTGCAAAAGGAAAGGGTCCCTAAGTACATCAGTCTCATGGAGGAGGCAGATGTTATGAATGCAGTTATATTTTGAAGGAGCAGAGCAATTAGAAAAAGCCAAGACCCTAAGGCACGAGAGATCATGGTATGTTCAAGCAAGTGAAAGAAAACCAGTGTTGCTACAGTTTGGTAAGCAAAGGAGAGTCTTATGAAGGACTGAAGCCGGTGAGCACAGCTAAAAGCCTATGAGCAAGCAGGGCCTTGGAGCTGTGATGAGGCATCTGGAATTTATACCGCATGAACAGGAAGCTGCCAGTGTCAGGGGGAGCATATTCTGACTTACTGTGTCATACAGTCACTCTGGCTTCTGTGTGAAGACTGCCTTGGAGGAGGTAAGTGCTCATGGAGGGAGATCAATAAGGAGGTTTTTATACAAGTACACGAAAGAGAAGATGATGACAGAGACAAGTGGTGGCAGTGAGAATAAAGAAAAGTGCTGGGCACTCGAAAGCAATGCAATAAAATAGGAATAAAGGAATCTATTTATATACATATTACAAACCAATTTCAGACATACAGATTTCTATTCACTGCATTTCCAACAGCACAAAAATCTTTGAGACCACTGTCTTGTTCTTCATATACTTACTGATAGTAGGCATTACATAAAGATCTTTCAAAAACTTTGACCTAAATAACTCTGGAGGAAAAAAAAAAAGGGTAAAATAAAATCAATGAATTCCCTTCTGTACTAGAAAATAATTGCCATTTGGCCTTTAGGTATTTTGGGGGGCGGAAATGAGAAGAAAGCTGAAAGGAATAAGAATGTAAAAGCATGCATCTATTCAAGAAAAAAACAGGCGAGGGTGGAAAGAGCAGGAAGTGTAAAGCCCAGAGACAGAAGTATACTTGGAAGAGCCAGCTTTGCCTGCTGTGGATCAAGGAAGGAGGTGAGTGACAAAGAACAAATTTGGAGTGGCAGCCAGGGGATATTTCATTTAAGGCCACTTAGAACAAGAAAGGATTGTGATTTTTTTTTTTCCCCCTTAATGTGAAGGGAAACTACTGGAGGAGGTAGCATAGCAACATGAGAGTAGCCATGGTACCTCCATATGTATAAGAAAGACTAATGAAAATCCAGGGGCAATCAGCAATATGTAAATAATCAGGTGGGTAAAATTTCTTCCTAACGAAGGTACAAGTAATTACACATTTGTTATTTCATTGTTTAACACAAGGACAGATTCTGCGTCATCATAGCTAAATCTATGACTCCAAATCAAGCAACAATAAAGAAAAACAACAAAATATTTTCTCAGTTTAGGGCTCAGCAGAAACTGGAGAGAAAAGAAAGTTATACGCTTATAATTAAGACAAATTATATCCTAAAGTGTAAAAGTCACCGTGTTTAAATTCCTTGTAAGAGATGAGAACACATCTATAGGCCATAATTTCTCTAAAAACAAACATCAGAGTTAAGGTAAAGCCTGTACAAGAAGAGATTGTTGTATATTTATGTGTTCAGGAAAGCCGCCATATTTTCTGCCATATTATTTAATTTCTGTCCCGCTGTCTGTCCCCAAAATCTCACTTTTAATACTGAAATGTTACAGTATTTCACTTTTTTTTCCTAAAAGTTAATAATAATGAACTAAACACAATCCATGCTGAGGAGTAACAAAGATTATTTATCTGTATTCATTTGTGTTGACCTTATACTTGGTTTTAATTGTCAGATTAAATATTTCCTAGAAAGAGGGAAAATATCATTTATCTTAACACAGATGGGAAAGGAGGCAATTTCTGTGGTACTATCAAAAACTTGGAACAAGCCGGTTTTGATCGACACATTAATAAATAATTACATATTATTTGCTTTCTTTGTAAGGCTTCTACACAACATTTTATGAATTTTTTGTTTGTTTGTTTTCTGTGTATTTCCTTGTTTATATTCTCAGAAACATTTTAATTCTTAGTAACAGTTTAATTCTTAGTTCCTGATCATGCTTTACTGGTCAGCAGAATGTACATTAGCTAGCTTTTTAAAAGATGTACTGCTTGAGTGGCAAATAATTTATGCTAACTGCAAAGCTAAACACAAAAACTCACCTGTAAGTCATATACTGGTAGGGAACCCTGCTATTAATGACTCTCTTGAAGATGAAGTGGAGGGGAGAGTGGGAGAGACTCAAGAACTCAAACTAATGAAGTAATGTCCTACTACAACACTTCTATTGCCATCCTTACACATTATACCACTAAACACTGATTTATCTCTCTGCCCTCACTGATTGATTCCAATTTGTCAACTATAGAGCTTCTGTTCAATCAACATTCTATAAGACTCTCCCAGTGTAACTTTTATTAAGCCAAATTGGTGCTTAATAAGGGGTTTCAATGAAATAGTTGTATTTCATTGAAGTTAGAAAATACGTAGACTATTTTTTATTTGTTAGGAAACACTTTTTATTCTTACAGAGTTTAGAATGTGATCAAAACCTAAGTCAAAATTCTGTGCCATGATACTCAATAATTCTACATTTCCTATAGAATTAATTCAATTATGAGATTCTTTTTTTTTTCTTTTTTTTTTTTTTGAGACGGAGTCTCACTCTGTTGCCCAGGCTGGAGTGCAGTGGCCGGATCTCGGCTTACTGCAAGCTCCGCCTCCCGGGTTTACGCCATTCTCCTGCCTCAGCCTCCCGAGTAGCTGGGACTACAGGCGCCCGCCACCTCGCCCGGCTAGTTTTTTGTATTTTTTAGTAGAGACGGGGTTTCACCGTGTTAGCCAGGATAGTCTCGATCTCCTGACCTCATGATCCACCCATCTCGGCCTCCCAAAGTGCTGGGATTACAGGCTTGAGCCACTGCTCCTGGCCAAATTATGAGATTCTTAAGCACTGAGACTATGTATGTGATTTATTTGGCATTTGTCTTTATTGAATACTAACATAGTAACACACACTTGCCTATTACCTCATTAAGAACTCAATAAAGGCTGCTAGCTGATTTTTCAATGAAGTTGCAAATAAACCCAGAAAGACTAAAAAATCTTAGTTCGAATGGACACTGTTGCTTTATCTTTGGTTTGGGGTGAGAGAAAAAAAAATGATTAACAGGTAGGGGAATATAAACTACGAAGACACTCAGTCCATGTAGTAGGTAAAAGTCCGTTGGTACACAGAAATGTGCCCAAATTACATTTATCACAAACTCCAAGAGAAAAGAATTGAAACTTAGAAAACGTGTACAGGCCTACTGTCAGCAGTCTGCAATAAAATTCCCTTGAGTTCAATAGAAATAATTATTAACTATGCAAATGATTCTGCTTCCTCCTTGATCCTTTTCAAATTCTTAAGATGAAAGCTCCATCAAAAGCAAACTCCCCGAAGATTTACTCCAAAGAGCGGTGACCAGTACCCTACTCACTCAACACACGAATTGCCTAGGAAAATAAACTGAGAAACCTTTATGGAAAGAACTCTCATCGCATTTTTATTTTAAAAACAAACTGAAAGAAAAATAAATAAAATGAAAAAAATCACTCTGACAAAAACAACTGCTGCACTTTACCATCCTTATAAAGTAGCTATAAGGAAACTCAGAAAAGGAGAAAATTAATAGAAAAAAGTATTTGGCATAATGGTGTACAGAAGTGGATCAAGAAGAGTTTCAGTAATAATATGAAGTCACAGTGAATATTCATATTAGATTTAAAAACCATAAATTTTCTACTTTTCTTAAATAAACATAGATACTATCATTGTTTAATGCTTTTCAGCTTTGAAAATGTACGTCTTAATGGACTACATGAACAATTCAAATGAGTATCCAGTTTCTGGTTGCACCACAATATACTATCTGAAATAAGAACATCTAGCACTCTTTTGCTCATTTAGAATTTAAATATGTACCAGACATCCTGAACACTGAATCACCTGAATTATAAGTAGGTACTATGAATGAGAGGAGACTCCAAATGTTTCTTTTATCATACTCAAGGGGAGCAAAGTAAAATTTTTAAATAGATTTGGAGACTCCTCCAAATTTGACACATTTGGTATCCACTGGCTGCACAGGCTTTTAAAAAAATATTTAGGGGTTTGGGGGTGGGGGAAAAATTAGTATGTGATTCAGTGTGTTCTGAAATGTTCATTATATTTCATTTTTTAGGAAAACATAGCCGTTTAAATTACATCCTCCAAGATAACTCCAAACTTCCTGTCAAGATGACCGGTTTTCACAATAGAAGAAAAGGGATCTCAAGTCACCATTAAGGAAAAGGATCTTTATATGAATTCATGAGCCTGAGCGCTGTGCTAGGAAAACTAGTTAAAAACCAATACTGCATGATATTAAACAGCTTGCTGAAGGTCTCAAGCTAGAAATTCCATGGCCTTTAGCCACCAACTAACGAAAGTATTCATAAAGTGTTTTCCAATTCCCAAATGACCTGGCTTCTTACATAAAAACACCAAAAAAAAAATGGATTTAATTCTATGTGCAAAAGGATTCGAGTACTGGAATAGAATACTGGTCAGATCAATATTATTTTTCAAGTTAAAAAATATTTACACTAAACTGAAAAGTCACCCTTAATAGTCCACTTGAGAAAGGAAAGAGTCTGGTTTAGATACTACAAAAAGCAACTGTCATCATCACTTCCTTTATGCCAGCAAACTTGACTCCATCTGTAGGTGAGAAAAAATATCTGGTTCATCGCTCATCCCCTACATATGCCAGGGTCAGTCCCACTCCTCTGGTTTCAACTCAATTTTATTTGTTGATTTTGAGAAAAGTACTGAATTTCTTCATGTAAATACTGTGCTAGGTGCTGAAGCAAACAAAGATGAACTAGACAGGCTCTGATAGGACATAATCTATAATTACAGTAAAAGCAGAATCTGAAAAGTTCTAATAGGTTTTGACTGCTTTCCTTCTCCATATGCATAGTAAATAACTGATATAAAGCAAGTGATTCTATGAACAGTTCACCATTGACCAAATAAGCTATGATCCTACTGATTACCTATGATTCATACTGTTACTTGACTTAGTATGGTAACACCCTTCTCCAATAGTGCAATATTCCAAACTCTGTATGTCCTTCAAGATTAAGTTGTACCTTCTCTTGACATTATTTCCTCAGTCACTATCTAACTGAATGAAATAGAGAACTATCTCTGAGTAACACTGTTTATGCTCTGGAGTCTTGTGTACAAAAGCTGTCTACTGGACATACTAGTTGTTTATCCAATAACCAGTGATGTGTTATTTGCTTTTCTGTTTGTTTTTTTGATAGTTGTGGTAGGTCCTGCCCTCTTTACCCCTAAATGGATAAGATCAAGGAAGCATGTAGTTATATTTCTCTCCTATGACTAGGAGGTGGGCCTGGCTTAGGATAGAAGCCAAAATCTTAGACTACAAAGTGAAGAATTGGAAAGAACGTAGATCTTTAATGACTTGATCAACAAACCCCAAAGCCTATCCTGCATTACTCAGTCACAAAAGTTAGTAAATATTCTTACGTATAAGCTAGTTTATATTGTCTTATAACGGAAAGTAGTGACATCTGTCTGAGTTTCTTATGATGTTAAACACCGACTCTGAATAAGACTGGATAACTACCCTGAGTAAGGTTAGGTAATGTGATTGATACTAATCCCCATTTATAGCGGGCACTATTATTCATTAGGAACAGACTAAAATACTAACTAAATACTTTTGTATCCAGAGCATTTTGATAATGACTAGTAATTGACACTACAATTTAAAGCTCAAGCCATTAACAATGACAAACCAAAAACTGTGCTTTCAAACTGAAGTACTTAAAATGTAATTGTGGTTTCACAGGTAAAAATGATAGATATAAAAATATAACAAACAATTTGGAATAGAAATTGAGTGTGAGGTGTGGCAATCAGAGAATTTTATAGAAGTTTACTTAGGTCAGCTGGTTCGAGATGTAAGTGGGTCTTCGATTTAGACAGATGGAAACGGACAGAGGAGATCACAACTGAGGTGAGGAACGGCAAAATATTCTGTAGCATAATTAGACTACAAAGTTGGTGCTTTCAGTTTGAAGCTTATAAACATGACTTCAACTTGTATTTCAAATTTTTTACACTTCAAGTTTGTAAAACATTGAGCAAAAATATCAGCTCTTCATCTCGTCTCTATAAAAACTTCTTAGTCAATAAAGATTGGTCTCCATAAGCTGAAGACATTATCATTATTCAAAATGATCAGGAAGCAATGCTAAAATCATAACAAAGTAAATTCTGTTTCTCCGTACTTTTTTTTATTCCTCTGGCTGTGGGAAAGCATAGATCAATACTCTTCAGCATGAAAATTTTGCAGTGAAATTTTCATTTGTAACAAACAGCAACAAAAAAGCCTTAAGCGTGCCCTGTCACTTTCAGTTTAGGAGAAAATGCACTAATAAACCCTTACCCTTGGGTCATCTTTGACAACAGGCAATACCATGCCAGCTCTTATTAAAGACTATTCATATCACTGCCCCAAAAATTTCCTTTAAAATTACCATCTTTTGTATCCATGTAACAGGATGTCAGCTTTAAAAGTGCCAATGAGAGATAGGACCTGTCAGCACAGTTAATTCTCAGCACTGTTTCAACACCAGGACAGCTGACCCCCGAGGGTATGTTTTTGGTAGTAATATTTATTTGGTGGTTATCTCTACAGACAAGAAAACTTATTCCTCTATATTGGTTTTCAAATAAAACAGCAAGCAAAGTATCACCTGTAAGTATTAAATATAGAACAACCTAAAATGTGTTGAAAGAAAAATAAAATTGCCAAAACTAACAAAACATATTTCTAAAATGATAGCAGACTCTGGATAACAAATTCAAAATGCCATCATCTTTAAACTCAACCTTTCCAACATAAAAATCACAAAACTTATGGCAGGACTTTCTTTAAAAAAGGAAAAATAAGGCTGGGTGCAGTGGCTCATGCCTGTAATCCCAGCACTTTGGGAAGCTGAGACGGGTGGATCACAAGGTCAGGAGTTCAAGACCAGTCTGGCTAACATGGAGAAACCCCCTGTCTACTAAAAATACAAAAATTAGCTGGGTGCGGTGGCACGCACCTGTAGTCTCAGCTACGTGGGAGGTTGAGGCACGATAATTGCTTGAACCCAGGAGGGCAGAGGTGGCAGTAAGCCAAGATTGCACCACCGCACTCTAGCCTGGGTGACAGTGAGATTCTGTCTCGAAAAAAGAAAAGAAAAGAAAAAAAAATAGGTCAAATTTTTCTTTTTTTTTTTTTTTTAATTTATTTATTATTATTATACTTTAAGTCGTAGGGTACATGTGCATAATGTGCAGGTTTGTTACATATGTATATTTGTGCCTTGTTGGTGTGCTGCACCCATCAACTCGTCATTTACATCAGGTATAACTCCCAATGCAATCCCTCCCCCCTCCCCCCTCCCCATGATAGGCCCCGGTGTGTGATGTTCCCCTTCCTGAGTCCAAGTGATCTCATTGTTCAGTTCCCACCTATGAGTGAGAACATGCGGTGTTTGGTCCTCTGTTCCTGTGATAGTTTGCTAAGAATGATGGTTTCCAGCTGCATCCATGTCCCTACAAAGGACACAAACTCATCCTTTTTGATCGCTGCATAGTATTCCATGGTGTATATGTGCCACATTTTCTTAATCCAATCTGTCACTGATGGACATTTGGGTTGATTCCAAGACTTTGCTATTGTGAATAGTGCCGCAATAAACATACGTGTGCATGTGTCTTTATAGCAGCATGATTTATAATCCTTTGGGTATATACCCAGTAATGGGATGGCTGGGTCATATGGTACATCTAGTTCTAGATCCTTGAGGAATCGCCATACTGTTTTCCATAATGGTTGAACTAGTTTACAATCCCACCAACAGTGTAAAAGTGTTCCTATTTCTCCACATCCTCTCCAGCACCTGTTGTTTCCTGACTTTTTAATGATCGCCATTCTAACTGGTGTGAGATGGTATCTCATTGTGGTTTTGATTTGCATTTCTCTGATGGCCAGTGATGATGAGCATTTTTTCATGTGTCTGTTGGCTGTATGAATGTCTTCTTTTGAGAAATGTCTTTTCATATCCTTTGCCCACTTTTTGATGGGGTTGTTTGTTTTTTTCTTGTAAATTTGTTTGAGTTCTTTGTAGGTTCTGGATATTAGCCCTTTGTCAGATGAGTAGATTGCAAACATTTTCTCCCATTCTGTAGGTTGCCTGTTCACTCTGATGGTAGTTTCTTTTGCTGTGCAGAAGCTCTTTAGTTTAATGAGATCCCATTTGTCAATTTTGGCTTTTGCTGCTGTTGCTTTTGGTGTTTTAGACATGAAGTCTTTGCCCATGCCTATGTCCTGAATGGTACTAACTAGGTTTTCCTCTAGGGTTTTTATGGTATTAGGTCTAACATTTAAGTCTCTAATGGATCCTCTTTTTTATAAATTTTATTGAAATAATTATTAATTTAACAAGTAATACTGCTGGAACAGCATTGTAACATAGTTGTCTCCAGGTAAAGAAAACCAGGCTTCGATAAAATAATAAAATCTACTTATCAATTAAGATAAATAAAAGAGATCTAGTAATGACAAAATGATTCTCTTTTAAAACGAACAGGCTGAAAATGTTTGCACAAAGGAAGGAACTATACATATAAGGGGAGCACCTGGATAAAAGCATCAACAGGTCTTCTACAATCTTTTGAGAAATACATCAGGAGTGACTTTTCTGGAAAAAAATGTATTATACATAACTTATTCAAAGGAATTCTAGGTACACTATTTAGGTGCCATCTCCTTCACTGGTTGCAAATTGTGAATGCATATATGGTAAAGAAGATCCAGTGAGCATGATAATTCAGTAGCACACCCACAATCCTGTATCCATGGCATATTAATCATCCTGAAGATTACCCAAGGACACCTTCAGGCTTTCAAACTTAGGCTCAGGTGAGAGAGATGCTGGAATGGGACTTGACAAAGATGCATGTGTGAACATGTGATAAATTGTTTCTCTGCCTAAACACGGGAGTCAAATACTATCATATTTTCTTAATTGAAGCTGTGATCTCATGAACTTGTACAGGTGATATTAGCTGACGATGGAGACATCAGAGAAGTTACACTGAAAATAGTCATATTTAATCTATAAAGTTTAAAAAACAATGAGCCATAGAGTCTTCCAAGACAGAAGTTTACAAGAGATTGATAGCACTATCCAATAATGTTAATGTGAGGGAAAACTGTAGTGGAAAAGAATGAGCTCACCACTAAGAATCAAGAAACAATGGGTTCTATTCTGGCTGTCAATCATTAGATTTAATTTGCTCTGGGTAAATTATCATAAAGTCTGAATTTCAAATTTCTTTTCATTAAAAATATCAAAGGTTAAAGTATTAAAAACAAGACAATATTGAATAATATATGTAAAAGATATTTGATGCCAAGCATTATAAAATATATTGACTAGAATATGGACATATCTCCTATTTTCCTTCCAGCCCATAGGCCTCGGCACGTGCTGTGCTCTCTGCTTGCTGGTGTTTCTTTCTCTTGCCCCTGACCCAACATCCATACTCCTAACTGGGCAGTTTTCTCTGAACCTTCAGATCCTTACTCAAAGAAAACCCACTTGCAAATGCCTTCCATGATATGTTTACAGTCTCAGCCCCAGTTTAGATATTTTTGCTAAGGTCTCTCACACTTCTCCTTGAAGAGACTTAAACAGGTTACGATTATTTTCATTTGTGTTAATATTGATTGATGCTTGACATCCTACTCAACAGAGCTGCTTTACCTCTAGATTTTCATATGGCTGAAGTCTCCATTTTTTTTTAAGCTTTCAGCTCAGTTGTTGCCTTCTCAGAGTGGCTTTCCAGAACGCCTTAACTAAAATATCAGTTTCCATCCTTTTGTGTCTCTTTTTCCTTCACAGCACATACCGTGACTTGATAACTACGTTTTCAACACCTGTCTATATAGTCTGCCTAACCTAACTCAATATGATGCTCCATGTGGATAGGGACGTTGTATTACATTTACAATCGTATCTCTAATATCTACAACCTAGAACAGTGCTTAAAATATAGGAGGGACTCTATACATCTTAAATGAATGTAATATGTGTTTCGTACTTGTATTTTTCCAGTATTCACTACAAAT